CTGAGTCATAAAAAGAAACGAAATTGAGCTATTTGTAATGAGGTGGATAGACCTAGATTCTGTCATACAGAGTGAAGTAAGTCAGAAAGAGAAAGACAAATACTGTATGCTAACACATATATATGGAATTTAAGAAAAAAAAATGTCATGAAGAACCTAGGGGTAAGACAGGAATAAAGACACAGACCTACTAGAGAATGGACTTGAGGATATGGGGAGGGGGAAGGGTAAGCTGTGACAAAGCGAGAGAGAGGCATGGACATATATACACTACCAAATGTAAGGTAGATAGCTAGTGGGAAGCAGCTGCATAGCACAGGGAGATCAGCTCGGTGCTTTGTGACCGCCTGGAGGGGTGGGATAGGGAGGGAGACGCAAGAGGGAAGAGATATGGGAACATATGTATATGTATAACTGATTCACTTTGTTATACAGCAGAAACTAACACACCATTGTAAAGCAATTAAACTCTAATAAAGATGTAAAAAAAAAAAAAAAAAGTCATGTACCAAAATGCTTATTGCAGCTCTGTTTACAATAGCCAGGACATGGAAGCAACCTAAGTGTCCATCAACAGATGAATGGATAAAGATGTGGCACATATATACAATGGAATATTACTCAGCCATAAAAAGAAACAAAATTGAGTTATTTGTAGTGAGATGGATGGACCTGGCGTCTGTCATACAGAGCGAAGTAAGTCAGAAAGAGAAAAACAAATACCGTATGCTAACACATATATATGGAATCTAAGAAAAAAAAATGTCATGGGGTAGGACAGGAATAAAGACACAGACCTACTAGAGCATGGACTTGAGGATATGGGGAGGGGGAAGGGTAAGCTGTGACAAAGTAGGAAAGTGGCATGGACATATATACACTACTGAACGTAGGCTGGATAGCTAGTGGGAAGCAGCTGCATGGCACAGGGAGATCAGCTAGGTGGTTTGTGACCACCTAGAGGGGTGCATTAGGGAGGGTGGGAGGGAGGGAGATGCAAGAGGGAAGAGATATGGGAACATATGTATATGTATAACTGATTCACTTTGTTGTAAAGCAGAAACTAACACACCACTGTAAAGCAATTATACTCCAATAAAGATGTTAAAAAAAAATACAGGACTTTGAGACAGTCAATACTTAGTTGTGAAACTGAGAATGAGACCATGGACCATTCATTTACAGCAGAAATTTTTAAAGCATTCCTTGGATTACTCTGGGATTACAAAAATGGACATCCAAGTGGCCATGAATGCTCTGAATTGTGAGTGAAATTATCTGCATGTGTATATTTTTAGGGAGAGGGCATATATTTCCTATTGAAATTTCAAAATCATTCTTAATCCTTCAAAACGATTAAAACCATTTATGTAGAAAATAAGGCATAAGTACCTAAAAATTCCAAAACAGGAATGTATTTTTAGAAAGCAAACAGGTGACTTTTGGACATAGCTAATTATCTAATACCACTTAAAGCTAAATAAGCATTGGATTAATTTTTTAATGTTTATAACAAAAGCAATTCAAATTTGTCTTTAATATATTTTTTAAGTTGTGCATTTGAAAGTTGTAGTATCCAATATTTGAGTAAATAACAATATTTTTCAAATAGAAAAGCAGAGCTACTCTCAAACATTTTAGCTCAGAAAGAATAAACAAACTTAAGCCAGACAAGATGTAGATTTCCATGAAAAGCTGGAGGTAACATGTTGGCCTAATAAGTTCAAGAGAGGATCCCACTATAGAAAACTTGAGAGCAAGAAGTCAGCTGGAATCAAGGTGAGTAGAATTCATAGCAAGCAAAATTTTCCTCTGAAAGGAATCCTGAGCTGACTTGTTGGAGGAAATTCTTGCTTTCGGTTCCTTTGTGACACCCTTATACTATAGTATATTCATTAGAATGGGGATGTCATGTTCTTTAAATTTCTATAGTTACCACATCTTCTAACAAGGTAGATAAGTAATACTTCTGCTCGCTGACATAAGAAAAAGTCCTAGTCATACAAGGGACACTATTTAGTGTATAGAAGGAGAAACAGGGAAACGATGTGTTTTGAAATAAAGTTGATCTGTAGTTATATAAAGTGAAATTTTCTTCTACTAGCTTAACATTTATTATTTAGTCACAATAAGTTAGATTTTTATCTTCATAGCTAACTAATCATTTCTTCTATACTTAATATCTTGTTAAAAACAAATTTATAAAACAACCATATATATTCCCCCAGTAGTCAACATTTTTTTTGCCAAAAAGTGGAGAAAAAATTTACTTATTTACTTATTTTTTATTTATTTACTCCATTTCTAATTCCATGAGGACATTTATATGAGGACACACATTAAAACAGATAATTAAAAGAAAATAATACACCAATACCTGAGCAAACAAAATTGCAGTATTCAAGGCAATAAAGAAAGAACACACATATAGAGGCCTGAAGATCTTATATAGTTACTAATTTTTAGCTGTTAATTTGACCCTGACATCCCTGGTAACTAAAAGAAAAGGCACATGTGATCAGCTACAGGATATATATTGTATATAAGAGGAGAACACACCACTTACCTTGGGATGATTTAAGTGAAGAGGAGGGGTATGAAAGTTCATTTCATGAAATTGGTATGGAAAAAAATGTTTCTTGAGGGATGTCATATTAGGAATAGTAAAGGATGTGTTGGGCAAGTCTTTAGTAACAATCCCGTAGCAGACATAGAGCAGGCTGTGTAAGTTAAGGATTGCTTTATATAAAATACTTGCATATAAGCTGAAAGTGTAAAGTCAATGCATAGTAAAGGCAATTAATTTGGAGGAGGTCTAAACAATGCCACCCATATATTTACCTTTCTAATAATTTGGATTCCTCTGAAAATAAATCATAGACAATCCAGAAGTACAGGTTAACCATGTGTGCTTTAGAAAAGTGTTCATATATATCATATCTTTCAACAATTTGTAATTAAAAGTTGGGCAGCAGACATTGGCAATGACCGGAAATACACCTGTATTTTAAATACACCTGGGTTTTTCTATTTTGCTATTCTTCATCACTTCTTTGGCAATGGAGAATAAAACATACATTATTAATCTCTGTGCTTCTATAGAACTTTATAGAATCTGCCATGTTGTTTTGCAAAATACCTCATCAAGGGCAGAGACCAAATCTCATTCATCTTTGTATCCCAGCATATAACAAAGGCAGTGGAACATAACTGATGTTTAATCCATTACACTTTCTTGAATGAACCACTTTGCAGACTTTTCAGAACATCACCACTGTTCATATAGCTTGAAAAAGGTCAAGGTCATGCACCAACTAACACCAAGGAACCTAATTTATAGTCAAAGCTTTCCTTTGGCATCAGCTCAAAAGCATTAACTGAAAGCACTGTACAACTGATGTAGGTATGGATTTTTTTAAAAATCAGAAAATCATCCAGAGGATGATTTCTTCAAAATCTAAGTATAAATGTATTATGTCAATGATATGACAGATCAGATTTCATTCAAAAGGTCTGTGAAACAATGGTCCTCTTCCACTTTCTAAACTGGGTGAGAATTAGATCTATAATGTCTAAATTTTAAAAATCAGTATCATGAGCATTTACTACAGAACCATATTTAAAGTCATAAAATGACAAGTTTAAGTCTTCAATCATGATAACAAATTCTTGGAGTGGGGCCCATATACCAGTAGTAGAATCACGTAACTTGGTTCTGCTTTCTTAAGCTTGGCTTGCAAAGAGAATGGGTGATTGCAGATCATAGTATGGAAATATAGAGTGAAGCAGACTGTAGCATGTGTCTAGACAATGTCAAAATCAATCAAACGATAAATTCATAAACAGTTTGTTAATATTGTGCAAATAAAATGGTTAATTTCTGAACTTATTTGAATAGAATATTTTTGCAACAGTCTAGAAACATATAGAGAATAGATGAAAGATAATGACTGCCTTTTGCATACTCTGTGGGTGACTGCATGGCCAGAACACAGTATCTCTAGAACCTTGTTATTTTAAGTTTAGTCCTGAGACTAGCAACCTCTGGAATCACCTGGGATGTTGTTAGAAATTCAGAATCTGAGACCTAATCGCACACTTACTGAATGAGAACCTGCATGTTAACAAGATCCCCAGGGGATCCACATTCAATTTCAAGAAGCACTGCCCTAGTATATAGTACCAAAAATGGATGTGGCCCTTAGCAAGCTTAAAAAAGAGTCAATAAAACCATGGCAATGAACATGTTCCCAGAAGAAGACACTTCTTCCACTCTCTTTGGTGGGCCTATATTATAGGGTGTTTAATAGTTTTAAATGAAAAAGAATAACTGTTTTTGAGTATAGTCTTGTATGAACTCACAGTCATACATTGCGCATTTTTTGTAAGACCATGAAATTTCCTAATTTAGTAAATACTCTAAATGAACATAAAGTTTGTCTTCACTTTATTATTGAACGATAACACACTTTTACTTGTTTTCAGCATTTTTTTACATGAATAATGACCTAATTCCACATCTACACTTTTCCCAATCTCTGAATAGTTAATAATTCATAAAGTCAATAATTAAGTTTTAAAGGAATCTACAAGTGTTTGCAACTCATAGGTTCTGGATATAGTATCCAAAGATGAGGAGAACTGGAACCTTACAACTGAGTTTGTTTGCCTGTCTTTGTTTTGTTTTGTTTTGCTTTCAATGCGGTTTAGGTTTGGTTTCTATATATTCAACACCGTTCAGAAAACGTGTCTCACAACTTCCTGTAGGCTTTATCGGAGCGTTCCTCGCTTGCTGTCTTGTAGCTCGTCTGTGGGAGGTAGGTCATATTACGCAACATTTCAGCACTACGGACAGCGCCTAGGCACCTACTCCTAAGAAGAGGAGGGGATCCTGTTGGGTTTGCATAGGCAAGGCGAAGGGTAGGGAAAAATAACTCCAAATGACGCATGCGGTCCCCAGTTTAACCAATACACCCGTCACCCACGTCTTTCCTTTACAGGATGAGAAGACATAGGAATTGATTGCCTACTCCTCGACTGAGACTGCAGTCACCGAGCACAACAAAATGCCCACGGCACAGCTACTGATGCAGACAGAAGAGGAAAACAAGTATTTTAACAATACATTAATTAACACCTCCCCTGCCTTAGAAAGACAAATTGGTGATGAACTCCGATTGCTAACCTCCAAGTGTGATATGAGTGAAAATGAGCCTTCTTATTTTTTTTTCAGAGCTGAGGACTATATGAAGCCTGTTGCTGCCGTGGCCGATTCCCTACCCCCTCTCACTGCCCACCGCTTTTCTCTCACAGACACACACGGTCAGACGCCCTCACATACGCACACGCGCGCGCAAATATTTACACACTGCCACATGGAAGAAATCCGTGCACATTTTCCTGCAAATATACTCGCGCGCGCACACGTCTTCTGCCCCTCACCGACAGATACAGACATTTACACACGTAGGCCAGTAAAGCGATAACCGCGGTACTGGGACTCCACGCAGGTTCCCAGGACACGTCTTTTACATTGCTACCGAACCGATCAGCGAACACAGACAAACCTGCCAACACTTAAATCTACTGGCTGGATTTCATCTCCATGGCAACAAGCATGGAAGGTGAGACGTCTCTCCCTGCGGAGTAACTTTCTCCCCTTACCCTTCGCATTAACTGACAGGATTCTAATGCAGGTCCAGATGAAAAGCATGTCTCCTTTTCTGGTATTTCTGAAGCTAGGGAGCTGGAAAGGAGGTGGGGAGGGAGGAGAGGGGGAAGGAGTCTGTAGGGCTGCTGAGTTCAAATTCTAAAGAAGAAAGAGCCCTAATGTTTCTGCTGATGCTGCTGACAAAAGGAAAAAAAAAAAAGTGGATTTGTTGTGTGCTTGCTGATGTTTCTTCCATAATGTTTGGTAGGTGATTTCTATGCTTCTTAAGTTTAATATGTCCAAAGAGAACTGGAGACAAACAAGGCAGAATGATAATGACAGTCCAGGTTTCTCTAGTGAGACATTTTGAGAATTTTCAGACCAGGTTTCCAGTGCTTCTGGAAAAAAAAAAGGAATGTCAGAGTCCTTGAGGAGCCATTCAAAGATTCTCTTAAGAGGGAAATTCTCTAAAGGTTGAAATCTGAAAGGTTGCGGGGGAGGTTGATTTTGACATATCTCAAGGTTTTGGATTCCTGGGGAGGCCTGAAATTTATGCACTTCATCATGATGAAGACATCTGGGTTTGTTATTTAAGGTTTTCCTTTGATTACAACATATTCCATTCCAAATTACTAACTAGCTCTGTGCAGATGTGGCCTCAATAATGCTTCTTTTCCCTCTTTTAATGGGATTTAATAATCTTGATATTTGAAGGGGTGTGTATATGGGAGAATTCATTATTTTTTAAGCTTGGATTTTCCTATATGTCTCATTTCATTAAATTATGAATGTTCATATCATTAGCATTAGAGATTATTATATCTAATGACAAGTATCATAATAGTTTTCATCTAGAACACCATATTCCACTATAATAGTTATTTTAGATATATTGTTTGGAATATTATTAATAGATGAATAAACAGGAGAAAAAAACCTGTTGATTAAAATAAAATACAGGAATTTCTTTTTTAATAGGCACATACTTTTCAATATTGGTTTCTGCAGTTACACATTGTTGCATGATTAAATGACTATATGTTTCTCAAAACTGAATTTTTATATCTCCAATCAATGAACTTATTTCACAGAAAAAAAAACCGCACATAACATTCATGTATATGAAAGTCTATAAATCAGGTGTAAAAATACTGTTATCTTTGCTTGACTACTTACAATAGTATGATTTGTATGACTGGTCATAGAAAGACTGTGTTTGCTTATTTATTGGTTACTAACTACAAAGCAGCTCCGTGAGATCTGGGCCTACTGGTGTCTACAGGTATACCCTTGGCCCAATCCTATGACTCATCAGAACTTAGAAATCCCAGTTCCTGACAATTGCCATGAAGGAAATAATGGGCTTTCAACTCATTTTCTCATTTCTAGAATACTTAAACATTGATTCCAGTTAACGCGGCTTGAGGCAATATTTTATCATTTGCAGTAGTACTACAGAAATATACTTAAATACTTTAATCATAAAACACATAGAGACTGATATTTAAACTGCACAATGTTGATAATTTTACCCATTTTTTGTGGCAGCGCATATTAAAAATAACTTTTACCACATAATTTTACACTCTACTCTTATTTTGAAAATTCATTTCTTTATTCTCAATTTTTTTTCTCATAAGGGTTTATTTATTTAGTTTTGTAACTTCATGGTCTAAATTCTCACATATTTCTTTCATTTTCTATTTCCCTATAAAGAGGATATTAAGATATTTTCCCTTTGAGGTAGGCATTAAAATGTCTGTTTTGCACAAACTGCTAATTTTTTTTTTTGCTTCTGTTCCAGAGACTAGAGAAAGTGAAAGAAATGTATCTTTTATCCATAGTTGTCCAGTAATTTTGGATACCTTATTAATTAATGAAGAAATCAGTGTTGCCTCTGAAGACCTCTACTGATTCTTAATATTTTGTTATTACTCTTATATCATATTATGCTCTCTATATTAATTGAAAGGTACAGAGCTCAGCACACTTAGCAGTATATTCTCAAAAACATTAGACTTGGGGTTGAAATGAGACAAGTCATTCATTTAATAGAGCAAGCAAAATGGAAAGTTCGAGCAAATATTTGAAAAATTTAGGCCTGAAAATACTGGTATTTTAACCACTGCATATATGGCTTAAATTCCCAAGGGTATCTATTTTCTGAACATGTTGGTAGGCAATTGCTTAGCTTTTCACTTATTTGCTTGTGTGGACACAATGCCTGCAGCAATGGCCAAACTTTTTTTTTTTCAACATTTGAGTACGACCCTTTCAGGTGCTCTCCTTGGCTTGTATTTTGTTTTCACCTTTGGTGTAAGGTAGAATTTTAAGATGAATATAAAAGTCAAAGTTCTTCCTTTTAAGATATTAATAAAACATCTGTTCACATGAACTTCCAGGTCAAGTGTCCCCCATCCAAGTTTGGTGTATCTCCCTCCCTCCCCCTTAAATATGGGACTTGAGAAGTGTTTCTATTAAATTTTTTTAAATTAAATTTTATGTTCAGGTTTCAATCCAGAATTCCAGTCATCAGAATTGTCTTGAATCTTGGTTCTGTGAGCTAACTTACAGTTTTCAGCCCCGCCTTGTGTCAAATTTAATAATCATCACTTCAATGTCTTCAACCTAGTTACTGTTCAAAAACACTGAAGAGGATGTAGATAGAGTTAGACCTTTGTGATACTACATTAGAGAGCTGTCTCTATGATTACAGAGCCCAATTTTCATTAGGATACTTCAGTGAACTATGACTCTACATAAAAATAATATTATCCAGGCATATCTTACCATCTTCCCCAAAAAAGATATCATGGGAGATGGTTAAATGCATTGCTGTGCTATTTGCATCGACTAAACCATGTCGATGTTATTTCCCTGATATTCCATGTTAGTAGTAAACTTTCCAAAAAAGAAGTGAATTTGGCATTACTTCTTATTAACCTAATCTTAACTTTTAGTGAGTGCTAACAAATTAGCATTTAAATTAATTTTAATTAATTAAAATAATTAATTACGGATTTGTAACAAAGATTAATTCCAAGTTACCAATATATAATTTTCACAATTTCCCATTGCTCTTTCTGAAAATTGAGACATTTGTCTGTCCAAGTCCATACTTCTGGCAGCACTCTCATGGTCAGGTATTTCTCAAAGGTTTTTGCTCATCAAGTTATAAATCATCTTATCCTGGGAGTTTTAACTCATCTAATGCAGCTAAACATTATTCTACTACTTTCTTGTCTCCTTTTATTGTTTGATTTTGGGGTCATTTCTAAAGAGCATTCTACATGGGTTAAAAAGACAGAAGTATATAAAGTACTTCTGCCTTTTCTTTGTCAACTGATAACCATTAAACCATCCTGTACCAGTAGGGAGTTTAATGTGTTATTGGTCAATTTCTTTATCTGAACATATTGTGTATGAAATCCTCTCACCTCAAAGCCTTTGCAATGACTGTTTCCTCAAACTTCAATGCTCTTCCTCCAGATATTTTCACAGCTCCCTTCTTGACATCATTCAGACTTCAGGTCAAATGTCATCTCCCTAGGAAAGCCTTTGCTGATTCCTTCAATTAAAGAAGTGCCCTTTATTCATTATCATTCTCTTTCCTCTTAACTTGCTTGCTTTCTTTTGTAGCATTTATGACTACCTGATATATAAGAGATAGACAGATAGATAGACAATTTTAAAAATAACTGAGTCTGTCTCCTCCTCCACTCATGGCAGGCACACATTGTTCTGTAGTTCATCATTATAATCCAGGACCAAAAACAGTGCTGGCATGGAGCAGATATTCAATATATATAATGGTTGAATGAATAACTAAAATGTAATTGCCATATTCATTATTATATAATACCTTAACCTCATTCAGCTCCCAGTTTTTGTCCTGCATTTCATTTATATTGGTACCAACAATAGATAGCCAAAGAGGGCTTATAAACTATGTATAAAGCCATGAGACAACCATTTATCTGTTCTTCCAAGACAGTATAAAACATGGTGACTTTATTCATTTACTAACAGTGGCTCTATATATCCATTCATTGTTTGTACTCCTACCCAATTCCAAAAGCTCTTGAAGTATCTTAGCTAAGTATCCTTGAAGTATCTTACCCTTCTCAGCTAAGGGTAACCAGAGCAGCCAAGTAGTAAAGAAGGCAAAGTCAGGGGAAGAAGGGGTAATTATACCAGAAGTCTTAAGCTAACAAAGGCATTCTGACTGAGTACAAAATTTAACTATCTACTTCCTGGTAGTTAACGCCAAAATAATATGATGGCGACATACCTTTCCATAGATAATGAAAGGGAACTAACAAGGCTGATAGAAAAGATCTACTTTCCCTACCTTTGAATATTACAAATCATGTGAGTCTTTCTGGGAATGCTATATTAATCAATTATTTTAAAAAACCAGAAACATTGAACTCTGAATGAGCTGCTGAATTTTAATGTGTATTTTCAAAGCTGATTTTTTTTTTTTTTGGCGGTACGCGGGCCTCTCACTGCTGTGGCCTCTCCCATTGAGGAGCACAGGCTCCGGACGCGCAGGCTCAGCGGCCATGGCTCACGGGCCTAGCCGCTCCGCGGCATGTGAGATCTTCCCGGACCGGGGCACGAACCCGTGTCCCGTGCATTAGCAGGCGGACTCTCAACCTCTGCGCCACCAGGGAAGCCCAAAGCTGATATTTTTTAAATCAAAGTTTTCTTGTTCATTTCTTTAAAATATGTTTTCTGAATTTAAAAATTAGATTTTTTAAAACCAGAACTTTATTCATCAAAAATTATATTTTTCAATACATTTAGTTTAATTCAGTTCAAATATTTATTAAATACCTACAACATGCCAGAAACGGTGGTAACTGCTTGAGAAGTAGTTATTTTTCCATTAAAATAAGTAATTCAATTCACAGATTGCCTAAGACTCTAAGAACAAAACATTATGCTGTGTTTTAACGTATGACAGACATATAACGTATGTCTGCCATACGTTAGACAAATAGTAATAAAAAATTTAAGGGATTTTGTATCTCTAACTAGGAAAATACCTTGTTTGAATTTAATGGTGAAAAATGAGTTGCGTGTTTTATTGCCACGGCTAGAAAATGTCTCTTTTGGTTTGTTTGGTCAGTTGGTGGGTTTTTATAAGAATAACAGAGTCTAGTGGATTAATCACGAGCTAAGAGCCAACTGACTTAAGTCTTCTAATGATCAGTTATGACCCTGTGTACATGTCTACTTCATGATTTTTAAAAACATGTAAATAAATTTAGCTAACGTCATAACTATACTCAGTTTAGGCTATTTCTGCATGGTGGCAAGATGAACTAGCTGAAAAATGCACAGATCATTAAAACTGCCCAGATGTTTTAATTATAGTGATACCAATTGTTGCAGGTTAGGTTCCTCAGAAACCAGACTCTGAGACAAAGAGTAGTGTGCAGGATGTTTACTGAGTAGTGCCCTTGGGCTCAACACCTGTGGAAGAGTGGGGAGTTAAGCGGGAGTGGGCAGAATTTGAACTGTGATGAAAGAACAGCCTTGGTTTTCCCCGTGATGAACTCTAGAGCTAGAGTGGTTCTTTTTTTTTTTTTTTTTTTTTTACATATTTATTTATTTTTAACATCTTTATTGGAGTATAATTGCTTTACAATGGTGTGTTAGTTTCTGCTTTATAACAAAGTGAATCAGTTATACCTACACATATATATCCCCATATCTCCTCCCTCTTGCATCTCCCTCCCTAGAATGGTTCTTCAGAGTTCAAGATGGCCAGGCCTTTTTATTTTCACATTAATCAGTCATTGAAAACTGTCTGCTGTTGGAAGCGAAGTAACCTTGGGTTACAGAGAGGCAGCTCTCTGCTATTGAGGCAATCCATGGAAGGAGCTAGCAGCTGAAGATTATCTGCTGGTAGCCCTCCCATGTGCTGGGCAACAAGTCCTTCACTGAAGGGAGTTTGTTTACTGTGTCCACCAGTAAACCAGGATTATTGCCTCTTCTTACCTACATGTCCGAGGAAATAGTCAAATGGTATAGCCTAGCAAGGTCATGGCTCTTGTGAAAAAAAAAAATTCAACAAGTTACGTGGCTGAATCAGTCAAATGGTTGATCCAGCATCTCCATGTAGAAACATCCTTCTTTTCAGTTTGTCCACCCATTAAAAAAATGAACCAGAGGGTGTATGAATCTCAACAAAAGACCTTTAAATGACAAAGCAATAAAATTAAAGATTTGGTCAGAAAAAAAAGTTCTAGTTAAGTCCCAAGGTCATTATTCAGTCCAGTCTCCCCTACTTTCTACAGGATAAAATTGTACAACAAGAGCTCAATCTTCAGAAAAATCACTCTGAAACATTTAAGTGATCTGACATTTTTAAAAATTAAAATATATTCAGTATACCATACTTATTACGGTAGAAAAATGATTTGGTGTAAAGAAATTCAACAAATCGGCTTGAAACAACATTTTTTCCTTCTATTAAACAAAAAAGTCAAATAACCAGCATATCCCACAATGTATTGAATATTTCTAACACTTAAGGTTTGAAGACAGAGCTCTTTTGTAATCCAAGCCAGTATAAAATAAATATTGTTTGATATTAACTCATGTATAAGTTGGTGAACAATTTTGAAAGCTACAAGGCTTGTTCTTATTAATCACTCCCTTTCTCCACTCCTTACCTCCCATTCCTTGTTCTGTCTCAGTTGTTTTCTGAAAATTGAACCCCAAAGAACCTGAAGGGTCAGTCATTTTAATAAACACAATTCTTAAAATTATCAAAAGAAGCAACAACAAAGACAAAAACTCCAGCAGTCTATTATTCTCAGTTATTAGATGAGAAGCTTTTTGGTGACAGTCCTCTCAAGAAGGGCAGCTGTGGGTTAGTAACCATTTGATTTAATTAACTAATCTTGATTTTTCATTAGTTAATTTAATTAACTTTAAGACAGCAAGTGGAAAAATCTATTTTGCTTCAATTCAACACACACTTTTTGAACACTTTTGCTGTAGTTTTAGACTCTCAACATAGTAGGAGCTTAGAGATAGTGGGAATCTGGTTGGCAAGGGGTCTGGGGAGCATGACTTGCAGCTGAATTTCATAGAAAACATGCTGTTTAACTTGGATTTTATGTCTATTTAGGGTGTGAGAGCCAGTGGAGACGGTGGTGAGATGGTTAATGGTCCACAGCTACCGCGGCTTGTTACTTGCAAGCTACTATGTTGGGTACTGCTCTTTTTAACATAATTTTAAAAACACAGTTTCTCTTTTTAAGAAATTAGCATTTAGTGTATGAAGTGGTAGTGGAAAAGAAAATACAAGAACATAAGTCTAAAAGCTAAGGAGGGGGGTGAAAATGAAAGAAGGTATTACACCTATTTAAAAGGATCAGAACCTATCAGACAAAATGGCATTGGAGATAGACCTTAAAACATAGACTTTAGAGAGCTTGACCAGCTTACACCCTATAATTATTTATGGTTTTTTTGATACATGCAAAAATGAAATGAAAATTAGATGACAACTTGGGTCAAAGAAGCAATGACTTAATGAATCAAATGAATCACTTAACTTAATGAATCAGCTCAATGACTTAACTTAATGAATCAAATGCTTTTAGGGTTAATTATATGACTATTCCCCTTCGTACTTGATTTTATATTTAGTGTACAGAGGCATAGTTTTGTGTGTCCACAAAGGCAATTCTGTAATTACTACAATAGAAGTAGCATCTCCAATACTAATTCAATCCTGATCCATATCTGATAATGTTTTCATATATCTTTTGTGAGTTAAGTCAAGAGAGTTTGAAAAATGCCAGATTTTACAAAACAGTTACCTACCTAATACCATGTATGGATAAAACTAAACTGAGTCCAATTTTGTATCTAGGCCAAGAGGTGACTCCAGCAGGAATTCTGAAGAGCCAGAATGATGTGACAGTGAATAATGAGTAGTACCTACTGTGGCAACTCTTCAGCTAAGATGAGTGTCAACGAAGTGTCAGCTTTCTCGTTGACTCTGGAGCAAAAAACTGGCTTCGCTTTTGTTGGGATCTTGTGCATCTTCTTGGGAATTCTTATCATCAGATGCTTCAAAGTCCTGTTAGACCCGTATCGTAGCATGCCTTCCTCTACGTGGGAAGGTGAAATTGAAGAGTTTGATAAAGGGACGTTTGAATATGCACTTGCCTGAGTGTTTCAGCTTTATAGTTTTTAGGGTTATACCACGGGGGCACATGGTGGACACAACTGTAATTGCCTTCAGTGTGCTGGAGGAAGATCATTTCATTCACTGAATTCAATAAAGGTGTATGGTTAATTTATCCACCATGCTGTGTAAGTGATAGACCATTGTTGGGGTTCCTCACTTTCCTCTGTCCTCACATTGAGGTTTCTAATGAATAGAGCATAAGGATAACTCCAGCCACATATAATATCTTTATTCTTCCTGCATCTGCCCCTATGCAATACCCAGACACTCTCTCCATATTCCTGACTCTGCCCCCCTTGCTCTAGAGAATTAGGTGTCAAAGATAAGGACCCCTCAGTCCAAAGAATAAATAGAATATGATTTTCCTAATAAGAGCCATAGGTCCACGATGTTCATACAAACCCTACAAGCAACCATAGGCCATAAAGTTCCCCACATGTCACAATTTGACCCTTCTATTTCTTCTCCTTCTAGGATCTCTTGCAATAAAATCCCCTAGCTTGGGATCATACTGATACTCCCTCCTCTTCCCCTTTTATAAATAGCATTAAAAAGGGAGTTTTCATCATGACCTGGTGGAAACAAGAAGTCCAGTCTCCACTCTGCCACCAATAGAGCTATCAACCTTGGCCAAGTCATCTTATCTCTGTAGACTTCATTGAGGAAGCTAACCAGAGGATTTTTAACAACACCCCTTTTAATTCTAGTGCCCTATGAGCTCTACAAATATACCTGGAAACCCAGGGATCTGAGATGAATGAGGATTTTTAAGACGTCATGAAAAGTTTTTCAGTTTAGGAGCCTAAACTCTGAGATTTGAATTCTAATGTTGCCTAGCCAAGAACAAGCAATAAGACCTAGAAAGTTACCTAATGGGAACTTAAGTTCCATATCTGCAAAACAAGGATAAAGAAACCTATCCTACATGTTTTACAAAAATGTTGGGAGGACCAAGTTACATATAATGAGTGGGAAAGTAATTTGAAAACCAGAAAACACTGTTTAGGGATTTCCCTGGTGGCGCAGTGGTTGGGAATCTGCCTGCCGATGCGGGGGACACGGGTTCGAGCCCTGGTCTGGGAAGATCCCACATGCCACGGAGCAGCTAAGCCTGTGCGCCACAACTACTGAAGCCCATGCACCTACAGCCTGTGCTCCACAACAGGAGAAGCCACCGCAATGAGAATACTGTGCACCGCAACCAAGAGTAGCCCCCGCTCGCTGCAACTAGAGAAAGCCCACACGCAGCAACGAAGACCCAATGTAGCCAAAAATAAATAAATATATATTAAAAAAAAAAAAAAAAAGAAAACACTGTTTAAACATAACTTGCTATCATTATTTATTATCCTTGTTGGTAATTGTTAAAGAGATTATCAAACCCTAAGAAGTAATGGCTCAATGTAAGTTATTCAGCCTCTCCAGTTTTCATTCTCTTCATTTGATACATTTAAAAAAATAGAATTACATAATTTAAAAATTTTTTCCAACTACAAAATTCTGACTCTCTGTAACTGAATGGAGGAATATACCAGGAGATAAATAAATACAAAAATATTTGTGTCACTTGAGAACACAGAACTGCCTAACACACCAAAAAAAAAAAAAAAAAGGATTAAAATGTACTGAGAGTTAGCATTAAATTAGGTGCTTTCCATTTATTATGAAATTTGATAGTCTTATCAATCCTTTGAGTTTGGTACTATTTCCATTCTATTAGCTCAATTTCACAGATAAGGAACTGAAGCTGAGAGAGATTAAGTAACTTCCCAAGGTCACCAAATTAGGGCATGATTGTATTAGAAATTACACTCTCATCAAAATCATAGTCATTGTTTGTAAATATCATGCTATACTCCCACACACTGTCCACAACATTTCTACATATCTTACAAATATGATTATTGCTCAGGTCTAAGGCACTCCACAGCCAGCTGTCTCAGTGAGAGTCCCTGACACTTTTCATCTCGTAGTAGATCTAGAACACATCTGTGTTGGCTATGGATCTTCTGGACCAAACTCACACCTTAAGGAGACTCTTTGAACCCCAGTAGGTACTGGAGTGTCAGCCTGGGATACCTTGTAGCCAGTTCATAATTTGGTCCAAGAACAGCTCATTGAACCAAGTCAACGGGACACACTGAAAGCTGTAAATGTCCATGATGCTAGTCATCTCCTTTGTGACCCAGGCTTTTGAAGTACTCACTAAGATATATGCCCAGGTACCAGATGCTCCCATTTGTCTCCCAAGGAAGACACCCAACAAGACCTTCCATTTTGGTGACTAGACCTGTGATGTTAACAAGGCCCCATCTTTATCTCAAAAAGAAAAAAAGACCCCAAAAACCAAAGATAAGAAAACTTTGTGAAGTATGAGCATTGTTTCTGAAAGTTCAACACCCATAAGCTTTTCAGATATCATCAACTCCACCTTAGTATTATTTCTAATCCTACTAAAGAGAAATTCTTTTAACCAAAAGTGTCTCCATTCATGGCATTTATTCATGGCCTATTGTGTACCTTAGACTTTCTGGGGGAAAGGGGAGGGGACAGAGAGGTTAGAATCAGTATTTTTAGAGCTAGAAAAAATGTGAGATATAAAGGATAGTTATAGCATGGAGAACATGGAAATTTCATGAAATGCTAACCCTTTCTAGGAATAGATGTCCGATGTCATAGCCAGATTATCCCCTAGCTGCCTTTTCCCAAGAGCCCTGTCAAGGAGGACAAGAGAAAAGATAGACAGTACCTCCAGACAGTTTCCCCCTGTTACCTTACCCACCTGTCTGAAAGGCCTTTCAGGGTTGGTTTATGGATAGTGTAATTTCATCCATATACCCCAAACGACCTCCCATCTGCTCCAGAATGTCTGAATCCCCTTAATAGAGAACAAAGGCTTTCACTTCACAGTTAGAGATAAAAAGCTTAGGGAGAAAATGTCTAGTTGATATAAGACTAAGACCAAAACTAATTCACCCTACATTGTAGTCAAGCAGTCAGTCAGCAAGGAAAGAGGAAATTGATGGCTATCAGAGGCATTCACAGTCTCTGGGAAAGGGAAAAGGTTGAGGAATAAATAGATGGGCTCCTGAAAGAGGACCAGAGTTGAGGGAACAGTTGAAGGAAAGGGAGACCAGAAGTGGCAGAAATAACTGCAAGTAAGTTCACAGTTCCTCTACAAGGCCGGTGCATAAGACTTGTTTTGAGTCCCAGCCTCATCTTAGCTGATCTAAATAACCAGCACCACCCAGCTGAGTCTGAAATGAGACTACTCCCTACACCTACCATATGGAAAGGCAGAACCCTTTGTTGAACAGATAAATGCCTTGCACCAGTGGCCTTTAAGAGCAAAATGAGTTATAGGTACCTGTAATTCTGTCTCAATTTCTGATACAGCCTCATGACATTAGCCTGACTGATTAGCATGACAGTTACCTGACTAAGAGCCTCTAAGGGGTTTTACTGAGGTATCTCCAGACTCCTTTCTATAATCTGCTATCTGTTCACCAACCTACCTTTCCCCCTGTTTTAATAGGCATAGTACCTATCCCAATCGCTAACGATTCACCCCAGAATCTTGGATGCAAAAGTTATCAGTAACTTGTCAATATTGCCGATATAGTAAAAGCAAGCACTAAGTACAAACTAGTGCTTTCTAAAATTAGCACATTAACCCTTTATACAAATTAACTCATTTAACCCTCACAATGAGTCTACAGCACAGCGTTATTCACAACTGATTTTACAGATGAGAAAGTTAAAGGCACAAAGAGACTGAGTAACTTACCAGTGTTCACACAGATAGGAAGTGGCAGGGCCAGGATGTGAATCAAGCATGCCGACCCCCGAGACTTGTTCCTCATCTCTGTGTTACACCACAACTCTGCTGCTCGGGCAACTGGAAGTCACTTGAATAGTTTCTAATAAAACACGAGGAGGACTCTTTCAGTCATCCCGATTGAAAACCAATGACAGAACCTGCACAGAGGAATTGTTTGTGCTGTCTTAATAATCACCACCTCACAGATTTGAGCCAAACCTTACCCTCAACAAAACTCAAAAACCAGTTTTGATGAAAACGTTTTGCCGGGTGGAGGCAAAAAGGTCATTTAGCAGTGCCGCTGGAAAACTTACCCATAGTTTGATTTCTGCTTGAAAGAGGTTTCCCATTAAGTAGAAATATTTCCAATACATCATTGATCATACTCTCAATCTGCTCACTTCCTGTGCAGAGAAGAATCAAGATAATATCTGCTATAAGCAAGATAAAATAATCTCAAATACCACTGTCTAGTTACAAAGTATAGAAATCTTCTCTGGAGGCCTATATTTTGCTGCATACCCTGAACAATAGGAGGTCACTAGGAATCGTGTGCAATGAGATGGCAAGATTCAATTTATTTAGCCTCAGACTGAAGCGCTGCTCATACTTTCTTGGATGATGGCTGTTGAGCAATCCAACTCCCCTCATGCATTAAAGAAACTTTGTCTTCCTGTCTAGAAGGATTAATGGTTTACTCCTGGTTACTAGCTGATGTAGTACTTAAGGTTCTTCTGCGCTAATGGCTGGGTGGGGCCTACAGCATTAATCCAGGCCAATCATTTCTTGTCATCTTTTTCAAGGAAGATTTTAACCAATAAGAAGAAGCCTAAGGTTTGGGGGTGAAAGCTAAGTGCTGCATATATGCCTGGGTGATGCTGAAGTAGGTTATGCTTCCTGAGAAGGCTCCTGGGTGGTAAGTTAAACATTTCTGGGCAGGGTAAAAATCATACTTAACATTATGTCATAAAGTAGATTCTGAGGAGTGAAGTAAAGGTGAGGATGTCAAGGGTAATGAAGAGAAGTGAGAGGTTCCATAAAAACTAAAGAGGTAATAGTTTCACTTATAATTTCTCCAGGAATGATTATTTGAGAGTTGAAGTTGAGATTTTTTTGTTTTTAATTCAAAGAAATAGCTTTAATAACTGCTGGTGAGAAGCAAGGTTTTCTGGGGTTTTTTGTTAATTTTTTGTATTTATCTATCTTTGTAGAACTTTCTTTGAAAAGCCAAATTTTAAGGTATCAATAAAGAGATATTATTCTGATGAAAGAATGTTCTAAGATGGGCTTATATCGTGGATTGTGAAAATGATTATGTAGTCTATCTCACAGTCAAATAAAAACCTCTTGAAGACTAGAATATTTCTTTAAAGGGAATCAGTAGAACATAATTATTCTACCTAAATATAGCATACAACTTTATTAAGGACTGAGATTTATTTCCTTACCCTGAATACTCCTATTTCTTTTAAAGGTTCCATAATAGCATTTGTTAAACAAACAAATGTATGAACAAATGAAACATTTTGAAGGCTAGTAAAAGACCCAAGAATTCACAGAGACATCTTGACAGGATGTATATTTATAACCTGACAAGAATGTATTTTTTAGAAGTTTTAAAAATATTTTTTAAATGTATTCATTATATAATGTATATTAATATCAATCACAAAATACTTGGCGGTTTCCACATTTAGTACTGTCAATGAACTCTGTTTCAGGCTGAGAATACTCTCATCAGCTCTTACTCTATTCAGTTGGTAGAGTTATATCTTTTCTAAAGTCATATTGAATCCAATCGCACCGAGTACAAGCAAATACTACAAACGCAGGTAACATTTTAATGACTCCACTGGAAATTCTGTTTGCCGAAGCAGGTCCCCAGTTATTTATTATGGGATTTAATTGCCCAGGTAACTGAAGTTCCTGGACAGGTAATTCTTAAGGAAATGAATTTAAAATCGTATGTCTTATGAAAGAAAACTGTTCCCTCATACCTCCAACCCTACTTAAACATATTTATATTATCTGGAACAAGTCTAATTTTCTTTTCCAATGACAGCTTTGAAGAACATTCTGAAGCTCGTATAGGAGACAATATATCAAGAATCTATTTATTGAGTTCTTCTAGAACAAAAGCCAGGAGCTCCCTAATGTAAACACATTAGTGTTTGTTTTGAGGAGGAAATCTATAGACTTTTTTTAAGCAACCATAAAGCAGACAGCTTAGTTCAAAAAATCCGTTTCGGAAGATGTCACTGAACAACTCTTCCAATGTATTTCTGGATTCCGCACCCAGTAATGCCAATCGCTTTCAAGTTAATGTCATAAATGAGAGCCATGAGAGCAGTGTGGCTGTGAATGACAACACCGACCCTCCACATTATGAGGAAACCTCTTTTGGGGATGAAGGCCAGAACAGATTCAGAATCAGCTTCAGACCTGGGAATCAGGACCGCTATGACAACTTCCTCCAAACTGGAGAAACTGCTAAAACAGATGCCAGCTTTCATGCTTATGATTCTCACACAAACACATACTACCTACAAACCTTTGGCCACAACACCATGGATGCTGTTCCCAAGATCGAGTACTATCGCAACACTGGCAGCATTAGTGGGCCCAAGGTCAACCGACCCAGCCTGCTTGAGATTCACGAGCAACTGGCAAAGGTAAGCTTAAAGGTACGGGAAAGTATCCTCCTTACTCCCTCAGGTGGTCTCCTGCTTCTTACGATCACTATAAACATAGAAGTGTCCAGTGAAGAGGTCTATTGCAAACCATCCATCTTACTTACACAGCTGTCCCTAGTTCCCAATAAACAGAAGATATACAAAAGTGCTTCACAAATGTTTACTGACTGAGGACAGAGAACTACAAACTTAATTCTGAAAGTCAGGCAATATGTGGTATCTTGTTTACAATTATAGGCTATTCAATTCACACTTGGTTAAACACGTCAAACGGAATACTAAGCTGGTTTCACCTTAGTCTTAATGCCTCCACAACACTTGTTAAAAAAAAAAAAAGTCACTAGTGTTTGCTGTAGTTAACACTGTTGTACCAGCCTTTAGTGCACGTGGGTATTTTTTTATACTCTTTAAAGAGAGAGAAGAGATTTATAAGATTCAGCATTTTATCCCTTCTTCTTCAAAACCTTGCCTGAGGCTCCTGAAGGCACTTAAGCATATAAAAGTAACTAAATTAAAGTACAGAAACAGCAGAAGCGGCTAAACTTTTCATTGTTTAAGGAATATAGCCAGGGTTCCCAATCTGCTAGAAGCATGAGGCAGCACTTTTTCTAATCTTGTAGCAAATCATTTATAAGCTTAGTAGATTTCTTCTTCGGTTACTTGCTCTAAAATATGTTGATGCACTTTATTTTCCTGCTCTTCTGGACCGCACTTTGGAATGAATAGCATTCTTTATGGAACATAATTACTTGCTAAGAAGAATAATTAGTTGTCTCATATCTAAATGCAGTCTACTCTTGGCCAGGTTTTAAGGTAAGGAAAAAAAAATGAGTGGAACAATTCCTTTCATATTTATTCATTCATTCAACAATTTTTTAATTAAATGCTTGCCCACTCTGGGAATTCTCAGAATACTCCTCTCATGAAAGATGCTAATAAAGGTGAAAAGCTCCCTTTAGTTTCTGCTCATCCTTCTTTCCACAAGAAAACTTCTCTCCATAACCTGTTCCCCTTGGCTGCTCAGGGTCCCTGACTCTGGGTCCTACCACTGAAGACTAAGCGACTTCCAGAGAGGGAGCCATGCCCTGTTTCTTTACCCCTCTCTTTCTTTACCACCAAGACTTATTTGTGCCGTGTGCTGTATTAGCAGCGCTCTGCCAAATGGCTGCTTTCTTTAGAGACGTAAGATTTAGATTTTATCTGGGATACCTGCTGCTTTAATCAAAAGAAGTTAGCAATGTAGTGATTTCAGACAAAAAGGCCAGCCCCCAGGAAGATTGGGGCAATTTGAAGTTCCTGGAGTTAAAGTGTCACTTTATTTTTCTACATGAGAAAAGGGGAAGGGAGGAGGAAAAGAGGGAAAAGAAGGTTAAGAGAAGAAGGCACAAGGAGTTTCCAAGATATCAAGATATGGGAAGGGCAAAAAGAGAAATTTACATTATGAAGAGACTTCAATTTATTCTGAAGAAGTGAAATGAGCCAAAGTCTTCATAGACCTGAAATTTTATTCCACTGTACCCTACCTCATTAATTTTTAAAGCTGCATCGTTTGTTAAAATTGCAATCAAAATTTAAATATTCTCACTTCCTTCCCCAATTTACAACAAAAGAAAATAAAATTTTAATTCTATTAAAAAGGAAATGGTGTCAACTCACATTGTTGTTAGGACTGATATTCTAGAGAGAGGAAAGTAGCTGATTTATAATTTCTAAAGCCACGGTTTATGTAAATCTTTATATAAGGGGAGAAAAGCTCTGAGGACACTGCTGTTAGAAAACCATCTGAATGACTAGACGGGAGGAATGCAATAGCTGCGTTTGACAGTTTTGATGGCTGTTTGGGATATCATATTATTTTTGAAAAGATAAAATGAGACCAAGGACTTAACATTAACTTACAGTATTTTCTTTTCTCTCAGATATGAAGGAATGGCAAATTAAATACATTAAAGATTAGGTTTAGTCTCAATGCCCTGAATTGAGAACAAGTATAGTTTGAACAAGTATAGTTATTCTGAACAAGTAATTCTGAACAAGTATAGTTATTCTTTCTGTGTAGTTCACCTTGATTAAATCATGCAGAACTATCCACATAACCAAATTGGGAGCAGAATCAGTATATAACCATGGAATCTGCAATGGGCACATTCCCACAGCCAGGACCATTCTAGTGTCGCTGAGCCTGTGAGCACTTATTCCACATGTTCTACTTCTGTACTCTCCTTCAGACATTAACAGTCTGGGCCTTCTTCAATTCATTTCTTCCTTGCTAGTGAATTTGATTCTGCTATTCTCCCTGCTTTCCCCCCATCTCCCAAATAAAAGATGAAGACCTGCAGTATAATGTAGCTATGCTGCCACCTCCTTGTGGCCCTTGACAATTTTATGGTAGTTCCTCAAAACACAACTGGAAATGATCAATAGAACAAACATTGTACAATAATACTCAGACATGTCACTGATTTTGTATACAAAAACATGATAGTGTTTACTTAAATAATGTAAGAGTAGGAAAAAATTGACATAGTATAAGTTAGGAGATATTTTTTTGTATCCCTAATTATAATGCTTTAAAAGCCATGTAGGAATGGTACATTCATACTAAATGGCAGAACAAATTTAGTCAGAAATCAGTTGAATTTTGTGAAAATCCTGGTTATAGCTTCCAAGTTGGAAAAAAAATTATATGATAAGTTTGTCCTAATAGGTAAAATGAAAACTCGGTTTGAAAGACATTATTTTAAGTCTCTACCTTAAATAAAACTCTAGGAGTGATAGATACTGACAGAATTTGTAATCTCAATGATTTGAGATCATAGTGGAGAAATCCTTTTCATTTTCTATGTAGTAAAGAGCTAAATGCCTATACTGGTGGCCATGAATTACAGATTTCTGGAAACTGGTTAAAATCAGAAAAAAATGACTCCATCCCTTACTTGCAGTACTGTACAAGCTACATAACTTTGACTGATCTTGCAGGATGCTTGTGAATATTAGTTTATATGCAGACGAAGTCTAGCACGTTGCCTATAATGGGTAGAAACTCAATAAATGATTATTGATGATGGTCATGGTAATTTTTATACCAGATAATTTTTATTTTAAATTTTATTTATAAAGGAAAATACACACTGAAAAAATATTTAACAAGTACTAAAAAATATATACTGAAATGTCTCTTATCTAAAGTAAACCTTCTCTCAAAGGCAATTATTACTGAGAGCTTCTTATAAATCCTTCCAGAAATTTTCTATGCCTATACAAGCGTATAGGCCTATCTGTCTAACTTTCTGTCTGTATTTTTTTCAAACAAGTATTGGGACATATTTTACAATATTGTCCTGCACTCTGCTGTTTTCATTATACCACAGGCTTTGGAGATCGTTCCACATCAAAACATGCATAAAGATTATTAGACATCTGGCAAAAAAAAATCTAGTATTTCTACTTTGTAAAAATAATTCTTTTAGTATCCAACCTAATTCTTGTGCCCACCTTCTTATACACAATTCGTAACTACAGGGCTAACCAAAAGGGAACTGTTTTTAAGTCTTACTACCACCATTGTTGCTGGCATTTCAGAAAAATACAATTATAAAGGATTGAGGAAAATATAAAGCCTTTCAATTAAAGTCATTGTTCTCATGTCATTGAAATAAACTGTCTATGAAAAGTATAAAATACTATGAAAATTAAGATGTAAATATTATTATTTTTAATAAGCCAATTGCATAAAACTGAATTAAAACAAAAACAAAGGAATGACTTCACATTTGGGTCTTTAGGCCCTTAGCAACTAAAAATAATTTGTAAATAAAAGCATTAAGAGTGACTCAGGGAATTCCCTGGTGGTCCAGTGGTTAGGACTCAGCAGTTTCACTGCCTCCGGTTCAATCCCTGGTTGCGGAACTAATAACCCACAATCTGTGAGGCCAAAAAAAAAAAAAAAAGAGTGACTCGGTATAATAATAACAAAAATTTTATTGAGAAATTTTTATGTGTCAAACATTGTACTCTTGACGAATTCTCACTCAATCCCATGACAAGCCTTCAAGGTAGTACTATTATTATTGCTATTTTAAAGTTGGGGAAGGTTTTATAAAATCCTAAGGATCTTTAAGAAGAGAAAATAAAGACTTAAAGAAGTCAGTAAATTTCCAAGGTCAGGAAGCCAAGGTCACATGGGTAATAAGGTGAACCCATGGCTGCATGACTCCAGAGTCCAAGCTTTTTGTCACTATTTTCCATCCCCAGTCTACTCTCCCACAGCACTTTGCCTCAGCTCATTCGACAGCTATAGAAAATAGTGGAACTCATGCACAAGGAAGAAATCTCAACTCAGTCATGATGGGCTGGGCAGGAGATCCTAATTTCTTCCCTGTTGGAGGCACTGTGGCAAGAGACCATGCTGCTTCTCTCACAGAATTAATTGTAGGTCTCAGTCATTTTCATTGTCATTATCAAAAGCATTTACTAGCCACTTATTTACAAGAGCTACTCTATAAAATGAGTTAAAGAGGTTTCATCTCTACTCTCTAGAATTTTATTTTATAAGTCAAAAGCCATAGTTATGGATAGAAGTAAAGGACATATAATCAAGTTAACAAACATTAAACCACATAAATCAATGTATAAGTGCTTATCTTCTGTAAAAGAACAAACAAAAATCTACAAATGCTTTCTCTAGAAAATAATCTTTTCTAAAGCGATTCAAAGTTCAAATTTGGAACTTTTGCATTAAAATTGGGGATATCCAAATTTATAAATAATCACTAATTTAATGACAGCCAGATAAAATAGGCAATAAATGCTCTGAAGGCCAGTGAAGACCAGAAGGCACCCTTAAAATATTTGTTAGAATGAAACTCTGCAACTAAAGATTCATTTTAATACTTGTTAGAGTTTCTTAGTACCCAAGACCAGTTTCCCTGGGAGCTTGCACTATTAAACTAATCTTTGGAAACAAAACAAAAAACAAA